GTATTTATTGTACTTTTCTAATCCAAACTAGCTGTCAACTCATTCCACATCATTGTATTTATATCTCGATTAAGCTGGTTAGATGTTGAGTATAGGTATTATGGTTGACTAACAGAAATACACATAAAATATTTGGAATCATGTGAAATCCAATAGAAAAAATATCTAGCATTTTTATAAGTCCAAAATGGTATTAGCAAAACTAAACTGCTAACAAGTGTGCTATATTTTCATTATATAAACAATTGACTCATATTTTGTCTTATAATGGTTCTATATATACCAACATAGTTACCTTTTCCCCAAACCTGTACTAACATTAATCATATTCCATGCATTTTGATAGTTTTCATTGAGGATTGAGAATACACAATTGTCCATGGCATTTAGTACTGGGTCCCTCATTTTAGGGTTTTATTTTTAATATCATGATAATCGTTTTCCTTTAGACTATCAATAAGGGCTAATTGCCAGTATTTATCTAGTGCATGTTGACTTTAAGAACATTCAGGGTGTGATCTCTTGATCTGATACAATGATATACAGGGTTAGCAGTTTAGCAAAATAAAAAAGAAAGCTTTGGAATGTAGATGTTACCAAATCATTGTCTGTAATTATTTGCTTATTTTCTACCTAGCTAGATTGGCCATGATCTCAGTTTGCCCCTTAACCATTGCATCTTTGGTATTTATGGAATCATCCACCCTACAGACTTCAATAAGGGCTAGTTGTTGGTATTTATATAGTGCAAGTTTATTTTGAATAAGAACCATCACCTGTGAGATGTATGCTAACAAGACATTTTTTTAATTCTGAATGGTTTTAAATTTTTAGGTTACATATTATGCCTGACTGTCCTGGTACAGGTAGAGCATATAGTGTGAATTAATTAACTCCCCACAGTGCTGTGCGCTGATACTATGTTGGCACAAGCATGTGTATGACACTATGGCAGAATTTTCTGCATGTATGTGCTCAAATAGCATTTTTCAGGAGATAGTAAGTCATCCCAGCATCACTGGGACAGCATGCCCAGAGTGGCCATTGGACATGCCATGTGCCAAGTGACATGACAAGGGATCAAAAGATCTCCTCAGCTGAGCCAGTGCTACCAGGGTGCCAGGCCAAAGAGGCCATGGTAATATCCCACTAGCTGTGGGGAATTCTTGATCAACCTAATTCTAGGGTCATTGGGACTATGTGGCCTGCACCACTGGTGGGTGCAGACAGCTTGTATCCCTATAGCTCGAACCACTCAGAGTGTTGCTGATGGGTTACCATGGCACGCGTCTTGCACATGCTATTTTGGACTCTATTGGAAGGTAATGCCTTTCTTCACACACATACACTTTATGACCCCTACACATAAATTACACTATAAACAGCCTCTAACCACAAATACACTACAAACAACCACTTTCAACAGAAACACATAACAGAAAAAAAACTATCCTCAAACAAACAGTACACCACAGTCAACACAATGTACTGCCTATAGTTTCTATCAAGACACACAGTGTACCACAAACTCTAATCCACACACACCATCTATCACAAGCAGCTCTTATCCATACACATTATAACACACCATACACACCTAACAAACAAAACACCTGCACACACATTCAATACCGTAAGCAGCCTTCCCACACAATGCCCTACTTTGTCAGTTATGGGAACACTGAAGACAAGTCATCTGTAATTACAAAGTAAGAATGTAATTACATGTGATTGTGCAGTGGCAAACAAACACATGGCATTTTTTCTATGTAAGACCACCTCAGCAGGGTTCTGGACTCACATGCTTACTTTAGAGAATATGCATGTCAAACTATTATGGTTATGACACAATATGCCTCTCTCTATGGCCGTGCTGCTACCTATTTGGCTACTCTACTCTTAAATGCTCGGACTGTATTTTTGTCCCAGTCTGATTCTGCTCGGTGATAAGGTTGCCCCAGACATAGGAGTCTTGTGGAGGCAACTACAATTTCTATTTACAACCACTTCACTGCGTACTTTAGAAAATGTTTTAATTATGTCCCCTAGGGTGATTTACTGTAGATCTGTAACGTTCAGAAAATTGTTTGTTCTTTGTTAAAAATGTCAGGATGTGATCTCTTGATATGATATAAATGGCATACAGGGTCAGCAGCTCAACATCATTATGAAGAGTGAAAGCTTTGAAATGTGTATGTTCTTGATTCATTGTCTAAAATTTTTGATGGTGTCTAAGTATTACTTTACATTCTGTGTGGTTGATTCACCAAAACTTGCCAAAAATACAGCTGCCAGACACAGTGTAGAGACTTGCAAGCCAAGCAACAGCCATACCACTGGTGTCACTGAACAGGAAAAAACTAGACACAGCAAGAGCCATGAAACACATCAGAGTAATATATCAGCCTCTTTATTAATATAAGATCTAGAGCTTTCAAAGGTTTTATGTTCTTAATTGGATTTGCCATAGTATTTACAATGACATTCATTAGCACACCTTGTTTCAATGTCATCTTGTCGATTTTCATACTGTATCAGAGTGTGGCAAGCTATTATTGTCTATTAAATTGGGATATTTTTGCAGAACATGTAGCACCATAATCCTACCATTTATACATTGTATGTTTATGTAAGATTTCTATTATATTAATAAGGGTTTAGCCATTGAAAACAGATTGCCAGAAAGTGTACTATGTGCCATGCACACATGCCATGGCAGGAAAAGTTCAATGAGTATTGATGCTCCCATTATTGTTAATAATGCATATCATCCAGAAATACCATGCACTGGCATTACATAACTCTCATATTGCATTGACTTATACAGTTATCATTTCAATGCTTAATAAGCAAATTCACCTTGTACATTATTAAGCATTGGAGCAGTATTTCTCAACTGATATTTTGAAGTTACCCTACTTACTATTGGAGTAAAACATAAACTCTATTGATTTAAATATGATTTGTGCATTAACATGCATTTTTACCATGAGCTTTTAAATTTGGTGTTTCGGGCACTAAACCTGAAAGTTTCTTTGTATGTTATTGGCACCATCCAGTGAACTAACTTATTCTTGGTTCAAATGAGAGATATTGTCCTTTCTTGATCTTATCCTAAATAAAACTTCAGATTAGAGACAAAAACCTTTCATAACATTCTAAATGTAAATTTGGGTATTGTTATCAATTTTTGAGGTCAAATAATCTAGCCTTTTTCAGAGACAATGCTAATTATTATTCAAAAAGTCAATGTGGCAAAACATGTGTATCATGGAGAGATCTTTAATAACAATATGGATCTTACTACAAGGGATAGGCGATAAACTTCATTAGTACACTCTACTGTAGTGTTTCCCAAACCAGTCCACAAGACACACAAACAGTCCACGTTTTGTCCATATCCCCATTGGAATAAAACATGGAAATACATAAATCCTGAATTTTTGGTGGGCGATGAGGACTTGTTTGGGAAGCACTGTTCCACTGTATATATAATGATGGAACTACAATAACAATGACATACTAAGATCTATAGTATGTTTACTATAACGTTTCTATATGACCTTATTCTAAAGTTTCAAAAGCATTGGAATTACTGTGTTTGTTTTGTGATCATTTAGTAAAGAAAATGAATCCTATAAATGTATATTAAATTAGCATTGGCTCTTACACAATCACTTGAAAGATTAGTAAGCATCTAGAATTATAAAAAAAACAACTGAGAATGTTAAGGTGCCAAATTGATTTTTCCATAACTTTGTATAATTTATGTACATGAATGATTCTTTTCATTGAAATATGTAGTTTGCTGTCATGGTCCCTGAGATGATCCAAAATACAGTTGTATGTAAAATGTTGTATGTAGAACACCTAAATGTCCCACATCTTTTAGCCTTCATCTCAACTGTTCTGTGCCAACCTCAAAAGGCAAACCTGAGTAGCCAACAAGATTAATCAGCAAACGACAGCCACTTGTATGAAATCAACGAAGGAGGCATTTATTTGTGAAAATGTAATGACTTTTCTCAATCTTTAAAAAAGTATTTGAATTTTAAAAGGGGGGCAATTCAGAATACAAAGTCCCAAAATGTGTAGAACTTTGTAGGACTTTCAAAAGTCTAATTATTCAATTGACTAATTGTAGTGGTTACCCAACCAGCCCTCAACAATTCTAAAAACATAGAATATGGAATTCCAGTATAACACAATATTTGTTGTAATAGGAATATGTGAGTTTATCTGTGTGTGAGTACCAGTGTTTTGATGTATTTGAAGATTTAATTGCTACATGATTTGAAGTGAATTTCTAAAATTTTCATTTCTTATTTTTAACAATTTTGTTCCTGAAGGAAGAGCTTCAACAGCAAATTTGTAAATCTCAAATTTACCCCAACAAGCATAAAAAATGTAAAAAAAAAAGTTTTAAAAACATGTCACAGTTCATATTGTTCCACTTGCAAACTTCATGCCACCCCACAAGTTTGAGAGTATGTACAATGATGCAAGAAAGTCCCATATGAATGCATGTGTTTGAATGATGATAAAACGTGTGTTTGGGAAATATACACAGCTTTTTGGGTTTGTTTTTGTATTGGGTTTATATGTAAGTATGAACTCACTCTATGCAAAAATTTTTGTAAGCATTTGCAATAATGCTCAGTATAATAAGGAGATCTTTTAACTTTATTACACTTTCTGTACAAGAATAAAAAGTGATTTGTATTTAAATGATTTCAACTTCAATCTTGTAAGACCTCTTAATAAAATAATGATTGATATGAATATTATGAATTTGTCTCTGTGTGTCATGGTAAAATTACTGTTTCTGATGGTACAATTTCTATTTCAGTTTGTTGAAAGACATGAACATTTTCAGTATTATCCTTTTTTATGTTTGTTTTTTTCTTGTTAATATATCATTCTCAGGGAGTGGCTTATTTTCTTGATAAAACAAAAATTTTCAATGAACTAGAACAACGGTTCATTTTGGCACTTCTGAAATATATACTTACTCACAACTATTTTACATTCAATGGTAAATATTATTTACAACTCAGGGGCACTGCCATGGGCTCGTCGTGTGCACCCAGCTATGCAAACTTGTATTTAGGGTGGTGGGAAGAAACGATGGTCTTTACCACTCCTAATGAAATCTACACGTCATCTGTATTAAAGTGGTATCGCTATATAGATGACGTGCTAATCTTCTGGTTGGGTTCTTTTCCATTGTTCAAGGAAATGGTGGATACCCTGAACGATAATCAAATTAACCTACAGCTGACCCATGTCATACATGAGAACCAATTGGTTTTTCTGGACCTAATGATTCATATCTTGGATGATGGGCAAGTTACCACATCCCTATTCAGGAAACCCACGGCAACCAACAGCTTGCTCCACTGGCAGAGCTTCCATCCCCATCATGTGAAGGCCAATATACCATATGGCCAATATTTAAGAGCCAAAAGGAATTGCTCGAATCAGGAAGACTTTGAGAAGGAAGCCAAAGAATTAAGATCAAGATTCAAAAGCTTAGGCTACCCCAACAGGATTTTAAAGAAAGCCTATCAAAGAACGAAGGCTGTGGATAGATCAGAGAGTCTACACAGACCCCCTAAAAATACATCCACCACCCAGGGTACAACTAGGTTTATTGGCACATATGATAGGAACTGGAACCAGGCACTTCAGGTATTGAATAGGAATTGGCCTGTACTTCAATATGACACTAGTCTTAAAAATACCATTTCCACTGAACCATCTATGACATTTCGAAGAGCCAAGAACCTGGCGGACCACTTAACACATAGCCACTTCAAACCAGCTCAAGCTACCCCTACATGGCTACAAACCAAGGGTCTTTTTAAATGCGGCCACTGTAAGGCCTGTGATTTCATTTTACCATCTAAGACAGTGCATAACAAAAGGACATCCAAAGACGTAGTGATCAATACGTTTATCAACTGCAGCTCTACCAATGTAATATACCTTATGACATGTGCTTGTGGGTTACAGTACATTGGGAAGACATACCAACAACTACGCAGACGAATTTTACAACATATCAATTCCATTATGAATCCTCATATGGATACCCCTATTGCGAGACATGTAAGACTTAATCACGCCTCCCAAACTAAGGTACTCAAATTCCAGGTAATCCAAAAAATCTTTCAGGACCACAGGAAAGGGGACATCAATGTCTCGCTACTGAAAGCTGAGTCCAGATGGATTTACTCTTTCCAAACACTATACCCCAAAGGATTAAACGAGGAGTTTAACTTTACTCCGTTTATTCATACTTAGAGATGGTTAGTGTCTTAAATTGCCGTATAGGAATGGTTCGGAAGCTTACACTATATGTAGTGAAGAACTCCAGCTGTCATATTGGCAAATTAGTATTTATGCAATCAATTAGAAAGGATTTAAACCTACTTTTTCTATACACCTCTCAGTAACTATCTATACTAGTGTGATTTCATTTAATCACTATGTGTTTCCCTTTAAATAAGTGGAAATACCTTTACTATACATTTGACACAAGTTAAATACCTTTAGTGTATAAGTGCTTTTAATATTATTGGCATCATACCAATACATATTAGAAGAAGCACTATCTTATAAGTTGCAACTTTCGTTGCTGAAACATTAATTTATTTTGTAATAAATCTTAACATGATTACTATTCTAGCAGTATCTTTTTTGTTTAACATTGTGTAGAGTACCACTACAAGTATCATTGCAGCTCTAGCTGAATTAATTCATCGTTCGTTCCAATACTGAACATTTTTAATGACATTTTTCTCCTTTATTTAAGTGAGTGTCCCATCCGTGTATACACTTGTTTTTGACCCTAAAAGGGTTAATCACAGATGAGACCCAAGCTCCCTCCCTCCGTGCAGGCTAGTACTTCGGGCCAATCACAAGAGAGGGCGGGATATTTAAACCTCGATCTCTCCTACACCCGGTTCCCTTGAAAAGCCGCTAGTCGGCGAAACGCGCGTCGGGAAGAACTGAGGGGGAGGGTGAATCTGACAGATAGGGAGGACGCTCCTGCAAAATTCATTACTTTATATTTAGTCACCCCCCTCGAGATCTCTCTACCCGTTTTTGGTTTTTAGTTAGGACAGTTTTTCTTCGATTAGGCAGCTATTTCTACCGTCAGGCTTATTATTTAAGTTTTAGAGCTAGGAGTTAGTGACTTTGCTAACTTTGGGCTTTTTGGGTTGCTTTAGGCAAAAGAGGGTACGCTGGGGATTAGTTGGAGTTCAGATTTTCTCTATCAACCCCCTCCCTCCTGCACTCTCTTTTATTTGTGCCACTATTTGATACTAGCAAGCATATCTCCTTCCTCCTTACTTTTGTAAGTTCTGTCCTCACCGACCACGTATATATTTTTAAATCTAAATTATTAAAAGTTATATTTTAATTTTGAGACTGCTGACTTCTATACAAGTATCCTGTAGGTGCACTAGGATATACTGGATGTGCACTCCTCAGGTTTACGTTGTATTTTTCCTCCTACTTATATTTCATTCAACAGGGGTTACCCCCCTACTCATTCCAGCAGTTTGACACACACTCTCTATTTTTCTCTTCTCAATTTATCATTCTCAGTTGTAAAATGTGAGTTGTTTATTGTAAACGCGGCTGGTTCCCTTATTTACCACTATAATGTTTTAAAGCATAAAACTTAGCAGGGCTAACCATACAGATATCTTAGCCATAATTTTATATATTTAGTCAGAGATCCTCTATTTAACATATACAAATAATTGTAGATTATGCTAACGTAGTGTACAGATAATCTTAATTTTAATAATGACAGGAGGCGAGTATTTTGCATAAACTTTCTTTACTTTATGCCTCCAGCAGCACAAGTCAATCAATCAAAAGAAAAAAATATTTAACCAATCAGAGTCCAGCACATCCTGTATATAAGTCTCTGACAGGCGCTCCATTTCCTCTTTCTTTGATGTAACCATGCCTGGAGAAAACTTCAGAGTAGATAATGAAAACTTGAACGGTAGAACTTGTCAACTTGGTGAAAAAACGGAGGAGACCTAGAATCCGACTTCCGTCTCATAAAGTGACGTTAAGCTGAAAGAAATAGAAATAAGTGAAAGGCATGGGAAAACAACTGTTGTCCTCATATCAATGTCTATTCCTAATCTTAAGTTTAACAATGTATAACGTTCAGTACCTCTAGATGAAGTATAACCATGTGTACATCGTGTGATACAACTGTGACCTGCAAGTGATGTGCTGGCTTTCTATCGTCATGTGGTCTAAGCGTCCCATGGCTCAGTTTTTACCCATATCCTATATTATGTGTAATTAAAGCAACTAATTACCAATTAGAGATGAGAGAAAACAGTCCCAAGAGTATAGGGAGGGATAGAAGAAAGGGAGGGAAAATACTCGCCTCCTGTCATTATTAAAATTAAGATTATCTGTACACTACGTTAGCATAATCTACAATTTTATTACATGACAGGAGGCTTCCTATTTTGCATTTTTAACGCTGAGGTAAAAACAAAAAGGACGCGTGCGATGATTGGCGAAAATAAAACACCATGAAGGTATTTTCTCTGGTCCAATCCGCCGTACGTAAAATGTCCGCCAAGGAGGCTCCCGCCGAGAAGGCCCTAGATGCCGCCGCCCATCGAACCGAATGGGCCCCAAAACTAGAGTTACCCCGGCTAAAGATAATAACCACCGTATCCATCTGGCTAATGTAGTGGTTGTAACTGGTTTGTATGGTTTGGTATACGAAATTAACAGTTGTCCCGTTCCGGAAGACCGAAGGGGCGCCGTAACCTCCACATAACGGAGCAAAGTAGAGACGACACAAAGGCGAGGGACCGTTGGAAAAAAGGGATAGGACATGGATCTGGAATCCGTCTTAGTCCTGCGCGATACCAAAAACGTAACACCGACGGGGGTTATAGTAAACCCGTCCACGTCGAAAGCCCGAACATCCGAAACACGACGGAAGGAGACTAGACATAATAACAAGGTGAGTTTGGCTGCAAGTTGCCGGAGTGATAGGGCCGTGTTATCCAGCCAGTCCTGGATGAAACAGATGACCACATCCACATCCCATGTGGTGCCGGTGATATTTTGGAGCCGGTGGTCTGGCTAATTTGATGCCCCCGTAATAGCCGACATACTAAGGCTTCCTGACCCACTGGGGCACCGTTAACAGGAACATGAACCGCTGAAATAGCGGCGCGTATAACATTAATGGACCGGTACGATTTCCCGGTGGAGAACAAGTTGGAGAGAAAATTTAGTATGGCCGAGACAGGTGCTGTAAAGGGATCAAGGCCCCTTCCCATACACCATACATCCCATGCTGCCATGTAGCTACGCCTTGTCCCTGGTTCCCAAGAGTCCCATAGTAGGTCCCTAGCCGCTTGCGATAGGCCTGGGATTGCCTAAGATCCCCTGAAAGAGTCCAGACTACCAATTCTAGTCGTTCTTGTAATATTAGTGGATGAGGTTCCACATTCGGGTTCGTGAGAAGCGTGGGAAACGTCGGTAGGACTAGCGGATGGTCCTGCGACAGTGCTAGTAAGTCGGTGAACCATGCTTGGCTTCTCCATAATGGTGTGATTAGTATCAGAGATGTCTTGGACATGCGCAGCTTGTGAAGTACTCTTGCCAGCATCGAAAACGGTGGGAAAGCATATGCTCCTATCGGGGGCCAGTGTTGTAGAAATGCATCTACTGCCTCGCTCTGTGGGTCCGGTAGCCAGCTGTAGTACCTCGGTAGCTGTGTATTCGTGCGCGAGGCAAAAAGGTCTATGTGAAGTGGTCCTCTGAGTGTTCTCACCATATTGAAGATCGCTGTGTCCAGGTGCCAGTCGCTGGTGTCCCGCCAATGACGAGAGAACCAATCCGCGGTGAGGTTGTTGAGACCCGGTAAGTATTCCGCTCTGATAGTTATGTTGCGTGGGAGACAAAAACGATATATGTCTTTGGTAGCCTCCGTCAACGCTCGGGACCTGGCTCCCCCGAGACGATTTACGTACTGGACTGCAGATATGTTGTCCATGCGTAGAAGTATGCAGCAATTGGACATGTGCTTGGCCAGACTGCGGATAGCGAAGGAGCCGGCTATCAACTCTAGACAATTGATGTGTAGTAGCTTTTCTTCTTCCGACCAAGGCCCCCCGTGGATGCGTGTGCGCAGTGGGCTCCCCAACCTCACAGGCTGGCGTCCGATTCCAGAATAAAGTCTGGGTTCGGGCCGAATATGGCTCTGCCGTTCCAAGCTTCCATGTGGAGGAGCCACCAACGAAGTTCCGTCCGAACTTCCGCGGTTATCCCAATCTTCTGATCGTATGAGTGCCCTTGTCTCAGGTGGTGAGCTTTCAGTCTTTGCATGGCCCGGTAGTGGAGGGGTCCCAGGAAGATTGCTTGTATGGAGGACGACAGCAGCCCGACTATTCTGGCCAGGAGTCTCAGAGGGACCGTGTCTCTCCGTAGGAAACGCCGTATCTCCTTCTGAATGCTCGCAATCTTCGATTTGGGGAGATGTAGTGTGCATGTTAACGAATCTATCTTGAATCCGAGGAACTGGACGATTTTCGATGGAGAGAGCGATGACTTTTCTCTGTTCACAATGAAGCCTAAAAACTCCAGAAAGTGCACTATGAATTTCGTCTGAGATCGAAGTCTGGATGCGTTGTCGCAGAAAATCAGTATGTCGTCCAGGTATATCAGGCAGCGGATACTCCTTGTCCGCAAGTGTGCCATGGCCGGCTTCAGCAGTTTCGTGAAGCACCAAGGGGCGGAGCTGAGACCGAACGGGAGGCACGTGAACTGGCATGTGTGTCCTCTCCATTGGTGTCAAAGGAAAGGTCGACTGGATTGGGCCATCGGAACCGACAGGTAGGCATCCTTTAAATCCAAACGGGTGAACCAGTTGTGCTCCAGAAGCAAATCTCTGAGGAGGTGTATGCCCTCCATCTTGAAGTGCCTGTAGGTTATGAATGTATTTAGTCTTCTCAGGTTGATGACGGGTCGGTAGTCTCCCGTCTTTTTCTGGACTACAAATATATTGCTGATGAAACCCGTATCGTCGGGAGCGAATTCGACTGCTCCCTTGAGGAATAGGTTTCGGATTTCGTCGTCTATGAGTTTGGTATGCCCCCCCGACATCCGTATCAGTTGCGGGCGACGTGTTTGGGTCGGTGTGTCCACAAAATCGATCTCGTAACCCTTGATCGTTTGGAGGATCCAGGCGTCGGAGGATATCTTTTCCCAATTCTGTGAAAAGAGAGACAGTCTGCCAGCAGTGACATGAGAAAGGCAAAACGTTACTTGAGGAGTGCTCACCTGTATTGATGCGCCCATGTCCGCGGGTACGAGCCCCTCTGGGACGGAAAGATCCTCTCGTGAACGGTGGTCTCAATGGGAAGAAAGCTTGAGTCGCTTGACTCCTGGGGCCTGCTGGCCAGAAGCGGCTGGTGGCCCGGCCCCGTTGGCGACCAGCCCTGCCGAAAACCCCTCTATACAGTGTGGGGTTGCGAAAAACTTGTTTAATCGAAGTTTGGGCTTTGCTTAACATAGTGAATAAATTCACATGCTTCTTCAATTCACTGATGAACGATTCTCCAAACAGTTGGCCATTGGCCGGTGGCCCCAATTCCTTCTTACCGAGTTCCAGGAGTTTGGAGTCCATCTTTAGCAGTGCAGCCTTGCGTCTCTCTGCAAATAGGGCAGCGTTAGTATTGCCCAACATGCAGATAGCGCGTTGCGCCCATTCCCGGATGTCGTGGGCGTCTAGGACATTTCCTTTTGTGAGTGCCCCATCTGCGAGGTACAAGATTTTGGCTAGTGGGCCCAGCATGTCCAGTAGTTGTCTTGGGAGGCCTTGAGGCCCTTCTCAATGCCTTTACGTGGGTCACGGCCCGCTCGTGACATGAATAAGACCACAGTGGTATCGAATTCCGGGGTGTGTGCAATTTTGTCCAGGCAAAATGGGTCTCGGGCACTCGGCCTTCAGTCTTGCACGCACCTCCTTTTCCATTGGCTGTCTCAGCCAGAAGTGAATAAATTGGGCCAAGTGGTCCGGCAGGCCACACTCCGATGACCTCGGGTGACGTATCGTACGGGGGTCAAACATCGGTGTGCCTTGTGGGTCCAGGAAGGTGCCTTCCTCCAGACTGTCCACCTGCATGCGGGACTTCCAGTGTCCATGACGGACGTCCTGGTCTTTGACCAGGTCAGACCCTGGGTCGCCTCGGGGCATGTCTAGCCAGTCGTCTTCCTCAGAGGGGGAGTCCTCCGCTTTCCACTCGTCCATAACCTCCAGCGAGGTTGGAGAATTATTTTCCTCCTCATCGGAGGACGTCAGTGGAGGGGTTGAAGGGCCCTGGCGGTCCGCCTGGCAGCTCCTCTTTAGTGGGGCCTTGCCCTTCGCCTTCCGCGGGGCTGGGCCACTGCCCTTCCAGTGCCTTTTAGAAGGGGCAATTTCCCCAGAAGACCTATCTGGGCCCTTAGTATCAGGGTCCCCACTCGGGGTCTGGACCAACAATTTTGCTATAGCCTTTTCCATCGAGGCCGCCACCGCTGAGTTAATCA